CAGAAAAAATGCAACATGTCCTACTTTAGTTGACTGTACTGGAACGCACTGCACTGATGTGAACTAGGCCATTGAAATCCATGGTAAACACTGTTTATGCAGTTTTAATGCAGGATAAAAACACACTGGACTACATCAGGTGTAAACCAGCCTAAAGTCCACTTTTCAATCCATATGATCCCTAAAGGGAACAGAGTTATTGAAAGGCAAAGACACTCGACATGCCAGACACTGGAAGGCCTCATCCACCTCTGGAAGTGCGTAGCCTAGACATGTACCCACCATCTTCATTGGATAAGGCTTAGAGAAGCTGTACTGTAAATTGGCCTTCTCAGGTCTCTCCCATTCTTCATCAATGAGCTTTTTACTCTGTCATTATGGGAAAAGAAGACCCTTCCTTATTCACATTTGGAAATATCAGCATTTTTCTTGCAGTGGTTGGGCCTGGGCACCAAAGGGACCAATGAGATCGATATCAAAAGTATGCACTTTTTTTTGTCTTGCCTGTGGCAAGAATATATGCCACATAATTTCCGCTATAGCCTCCTAAATATAGGCTTTGAAATTTGCTCATCCTTTTCCTTATCCATTGTCACTTGAGGCAATCCACACAAATGAATTTCCCTGCCACTGCAAACTGCATGCGGGTCCAATATGCACAATCAGCTAGACAAGGCATTCCCTATTGTGCTGACATAAACGCATTTTAGCCATTACCACGTGAGCTGCTTGGGAGCATGAAAGCCACCCTGTGTGGGAATGCAGATTGTCCTAGTCATTAGATGACGGGTCTTTAAGTTTTCTGGAGTGTTTGCGCTTAGGACTTTTGCCCCTAAAGTAATGCAAAACACAACACTTTGCTTTCCTTGAGCACTCTTAAAAACATATCCCACGTTGCTCCCTTCTACCTTTCCCTAGTGTTCTGTGTCACTGACAGATGTTGTCAGCTCATATCTGCACAAAAAAAAAATGAAGAAAATCAGGACTGGATCTAGCCTGTTTGATATGGGGGTGCAGTAAAAAAGGTCAGGGGGCAGAGGATGGGAAGGCAGTGTACAGGGGATCAGCAGGGCAGAGGTTAATCCTATCCTCTGTTAGCAGTTTGTAGTGCAGTGTACAGAGGCTATTGTTTTTTTAGGGCAGTGTACTGGGGGCAGCAGGTTAGAGGACAGGGGGCAGCTGGGCAGAATACAGGGAGTCAGCCTGGCAAAGGATGGAAGGTCAGCAAGGAATGAGCTGAGGACTGGGGGTCAGTGCTGGCAGAGTCAGAGGCCAGGGGTCACCACTGGCAGGACGCTTGGCTGAGTTCCTTTCCTATCTCAGCACTGCCCACAGATCCTCCTCCCCACACTACACAGAGCTGAAATCACATTCCTTTACAGTATATACAGCCACGATCTTCACAAGGTATATCTAGCTGCTATATTGCCATTCTGACCTGTGAAATTCTCTGGTTGGAATGGCAGTGTAACTGCAGTAGCCAGCTACACACTGTGAAGGTCATGGCTGACTGGCTGTGTGTAAAGTAATGTGATTTCAGCTCTGTGTAGAGTGGGGAGGAGGAGCTGCGTGCAGTACTGGGTTGGCAAAGGAGCTCAGCGGCCAGGCAGAACATCTGGGGTGGAGAGGGGTTGGTCAGGGGACTTTGAGAAGGGACACAACAGAGATTCTGGGGGGAGGGGGCAGCACCCACCTAGATCCAGCCATGGCAAAAATCATTAATCTCTCACCAAAAAAACACTGTCCCTTTAAGACCCATTTGCTTTCATCCACTTACTACAGAAGCAGTAGCATCATCAGTGCCACCTATCAGTGCCTCCTATCAGCGCCCATCAGTGCTGCCTATCTGTGCCACCTCATCAGTGCCCATCAGTGCTGCCTGTAACAGCGTATACCCAGAGACTGACGCAGTCCTCCATTTTGTTAAGAACCTCCATCTTGGCAAAGGGGTTAACCATCCTGACAAACATATTTCCCCCTCATTCTCCCCCTCCCTTTCTGAGAGTCCCAGCGACATTTGGCCAGTGTGTATGTGTGTAGGAGTGTCACAGGAGGCCAGGGCCCAGCAGGGGGCTAGGAGCTATAAAGTCCCCAAGGGAGCTGGGGCCTAGCTGTCCAAAGAACCTGTAAAATGTAACACCTCGTATAAGATAAGGCAAGCTTTCCACTGAGTTCGAGACATTCCAAGGAAGGCAGGACCGGCTAACACTTGTTAAAATCCAGTTTTCCCTGTGTCTCATATCTTGGAATATGAGAGACTTACATAAAAACTGGACATATCGTCAGATTGGCCACGAGAAGGCAAACAGTTTGGTAGGTCACTCGCATTGTCTCAAATACATAGGAAAGCTGAAAAATAGATCTTGTGAACCGTTCAGTGTAAAATTTCATAATTCATATCTAATCAATCCTCAGATGTGTCTGCATAATAATCTACCCGCGGCTGGAATGTCACTTGTGCAGATGGAAAGTTATGGGCCAAAATATGAGTTACGGAGATTTTGGCTCTAGTTGAGGTATCCGCCCATACCTACACGCCTAAACGGGGTATTGGTACTTGACTTCAGAGACACCCCCTGCTGGGGAACTACAAAATAAGCTGTCAGGCCTAAGAGAGCTGAGTTGAAATTGTCCCCCCATTTTAACATCAATACCACCTGGGGAGACCTGTGCCCTTTTGCTCTGAAACTTTGATCTGCTATCCCAGGACTTTGACAAGTACCTTAACCCTTTCACCTTTCTCTGATATCTCTTTGCTGTGCTGTTAGTCTCTGTATATTTATATATATATATCTTAGTTACATCTTTTCTGTAAATATTTTTATTGCACCCGTTTGACCTTTTAGTAATAAATCTTTCCTTCTGAAAGTGTTGAACTGTTTCTAGAGCGCTTTATTGCAATTTACGAATTCCTGCCTCTAAAGAGAACGCTACTGTATTTGTTTAACCCTCTGTATAACCGTGTTATACAGACGATTACCTCAACCATTATAGTGCTATAGCTGATATCGCCGAGTTTCCTCTTTCTCTGTACAAAAAGGAGGTGGTGGCAGTGTGAAGGGTTAATTGCATAATTACACTGACGCAGTAACAATCGCTCACGCTGCCGGTACATCGATTGTGGTCCAATTAGCTGGAAAATCGTTGTGCAGGATGCAGCTGGGTGTGGCATTGTTACACACGTGACATCGCGATTTTAGATCGGCTAGTCCTTCGGTTTGGTGAGAAGGGCTGGGGTCTGACACCGCGATCGTGACATATTGGTGGCAGCGGTGGGATAGTTGCATTAAGAGCTTCAGTGCAGTGTTAAAAAATTGTCTCTGCACTGAAGGATTGTAACCTTTGTGGAAACAGTCCTTCGAAACAAGCGGCGCATTTTTCATATATATATATATATATATATATATATATATATAGGGAGACATATAGCAACAGCTCCTTCCTCTTTCTACTTTCTATTCTATCTTTGCTTGCAATAATGCCTGGTGACGCAGAATACAAGAAAATGAGCAAAAGTGATTTGAGTGCTGAATGTGCCTCACAGGGAATGGACGTCGGTAGCAAAACCCGTGAAGATTTGATTTGGGATCTACAGGAGCATGATAGCCAAGCAGATCAGAACTCGGGGGAACTTGAGCATGACGGGGTTCCTGCTACCTACATTCCCAGTGGCTCAGAGACTGCCTCGCAGGATGGGCATACAGAGACTGACACTGGAGGATCACCAAATGGTATCGTCACACCACCGCCTGAACAGGCCAGCACCGGAGTGCCTGTAACCAGCAAAGACTCTCCTGAGATGCAGGAAGCCCTGAAACGCATCATGGAGATGGATCCTATGGCATACTTGCAGTTCCTTGACTGCCAGGCAGAGAGCGGCTGACAGAGAGGTGGCGGAATGCCAAACAGCAGCGGACAGAGCGGAACGCCAGGTGCAGAGGGAAGCTGATCGTCGGCACGAGCTGGTGATGGCGAGACTCCAGCAGGGACAGGTTCAGAATCCCGAATCCCTAGAACACAGGCCATGGGCGCAGCCAAGTTACCAGTGATGGAAAAAGATAGTGACATTGACACGTACATACTGTCATTTGAAAAAACGTGCCGTCAGTACCATGTGCCCAGTTTTAGATTGGCTAGTGCTTTCGGTCACGAGTTTGGTGAGAAGGGCTGAGGTCTGACACTGCAATCATGACACTGCCTATCAGTGCAGCCTCATCAACGCACATCAGTGAAGGAGAAAAATTACCTGCTTGCAAAATTTTATAATAGGAACAAAGAAACTTTTTTTTTCAAATTTTTTGCTGTTTTTTGTTTATAGTGAAAAAAATAAAACACCCAGTGGCAATTAAATACCACCAAAAGAAAATTGGCCTGGGCAGGAAGGGGGTGGGGATGCCCAGTAGGAAAGTGGTTAACCACATGCCTACAGGGCACTTATAGCCCCTTCCTGCCCAGGCCAATTTCCTGCTTTCAGCGCTGTTGCACTTTGAATGACAATTGCACGGTCATGCAACACTGTACCCATATGAAATTTTTATCATTTTTTTGTGACAGATAAAGCTTTATTTTGATGGTATTTAATCACCTCTGGGTTTTTTATTTTTTCTTAAACAAACCAAAAACCACTGAAAAGTGATTTTTCTCCTTCACTGATGTGTGCTAATGAGGCTGCAGTGATGGGCACTGATAGGCTGCACTGATGGACACTGATAGGTGGCACTGATGGGCACTGATGAGGAGGCACTGGTGGGTGGCACTGATGGGCATTGACAGGCATCACTGATGGGCACTGAAAGGCAACACTCATATATGGCACTGATAGGTGGCACTGATAGGCGGCACTGACTGGAACTGATAGGCAGCACTGACTGGCACTGTTAGGTGGCACTGATATGCAGCACTGGGGGCATTGACAGGCATCACTGATGGGCACTGAAAGGCAGCACTCATATATGGCACTGATAGGTGGCACTGATAGGCGGCACTGACTGGCACTGATAGGCAGCACTGACTAGCACTGTTAGACGGCACTGATATGCAGCACTGGGGGCACTGAGAGGCGGCATTGAAGCACACTGATAGGAGGCACTGACTGGCACTGATATGCGGCACTGACTGGCACTGATAGGCGGAACTGATTGGCAGCACTGATAGGTGGCACTGACTGGCATTGATAGGTGACACTGACTGGCACTGATGGGTGACACTGAAAGGCAGCTCAGATGCGCACTGATATGTGGCATTGATGTGGCACTAATGGGCACTGAAATGTGGCACTGATGGACACTGGTAGGTGGCATAGATGAGCACTGAGAGCTGGCACTGATGGACACTGACAGGTGGCGCTGCTGGGGATACACAGATCATCAGGGCACACTGATCATCAGTGCTCTGATGATCTGTATAGATATCACCTCCGAGGAATGCCGATTACCGGCTCTCCTCAGCGTCACAGCTCGTAGGGAGAGAAATGCCGATAACCGGCATTTCCCTGTTTACATGTGATCAGCTGTGATTAGACACAGCTGATCACATGACCGAGCCAACATCTTCGGCTCTTTCCATGGATCGGTGATCCGCTGTGTCCGAGGGACACAGCGCACCGCCGATCGCCGTACTGCACACTCCGGGAGCCACGCATGCGCGGTTACAATGGGAGGACATCATATGATGTCCTCCCAGAATGAGAGAACCACCTTGCGTCCGTCATATTACTATATGGCGGGCGGGAGGTGGTTAAGCAACATTGTCTGCTCCCTGGCACACAGGGCACCCAGTCCCAGGAAGGTTTACATCCAACATTCTGTGTCCTCCAACACCGCACAACGCTGAACCTGGAGGGGAAAGTATGGCAGGGGGGCTATACTTGCAGCAACCAAAGTACTTACCAACTTCAATCAACAGGTGGCCTGGAGCATGACCAAAAAAGAACACTTCAGTTGGGGAGGGGCTGTCTTTTATTTAGCTAGGAAGAGGTGGTCCTTTGGGTTCCAGAAGGGGAGTTAACCCGTTGTGTGCTGCCGTGAAGTAAGGCCAGGAAAATTCATTGTAAATGATACATACATCAAATTCAATAACAGGGGCCTGATCTAAAAAAAGCCAAGGCATGTTGAGAACAAGGCATGTGAAGGGGAAAAAATCAGCTATATCCTTGTACCACAGAAATAATTGATAACTAGTCCTTTGCTCTCTGCCTGTCTTTTTTAGGCACACCTTCCCCAGTTCAGTGCCCCTTTAAGTGAATGCTTCTGAATCTTTTTTTTTTTTTTTTAACAGTCAGTCAAAAATACACAAAGCTGACAGAGAAGGGAAGTCTAAATAAAAAATGTATGCCCTTTTTTTTTGTTGTTGGTTCACATCAAAATGTGGCACAATGTTTCTCACACTGCAGGTGAACTTGTTGCCCTTGCATTTTTTCATTTATTGTTAATGGCACCCAAAATGCAGATCAGACACAGGGCATTTGCAGGCACCAAATCTGAATATGAGAACATGTGTATTCAAGTGTGCACCGGTCCTTAAACTTTCATGAAAATTTAGCAAGCCAGCCTAAACTGAAGTTTTATATATTGCCGCTTTTGTTGTCACTAATACAAGCAAGATTAACAAATACAATTACATAACAAAACTTTTTGAACACAGGGTACAATAAGAATAACAGCCGGGTTTACCAAACTGTAAAGTGATGTTAAATGAAGGGAAGTAAATGTGGATTTAAAAGATTCCAAATTTTATGCATATGGTTGCAGTAAAACAGATCAGGCCCCAAATGTGCCCGTAAATATTTTTTAAGAATGTCAAAAATGTGTCTATTAATTGAACACTGAAATATAGACTGGAAGAAGAACACTTGTATTCGGATAAACAAAAAGTGCATTTTTCTTCCAACAGATATATAGTATTCTAATGTTCATACCTTAGTGGAGCATGATGTGGCACTAGTACTGGTAAAAGTATCAGGCACTGTATCCTATCAAAGTAAGGCAGATACACTCTCACTAGATTCCACAGTAAGAAAAGGAGGGCATAAGAATTAGTCTAATTTTTTATTTTAGAATAAAGGATACAGTCATGGCCAAAGATATTAGCACCTCTGCATTTCTGTCAGATAATGCACCACTTCGCTCATAAAACTGTTGCAATTACAAATGTTTAAGCATTCTCATGTTTATTTCTTTTGTTTGTATTGGTATGACACAAAAAAGTGGGGAAACAAAAGCCAAATCTGACACATTCAACACAAAACTACAAAAATGGACTGGAAAAAACTATCAGCACCTTTAATTTAATATTTGGTAGCACACCCTTTTGGAAAAATAAAAGAAATCAATTGCTCCTCTCACCATCAATAAGTTTCTTACACCTGTCTACTGGAATTCTGGACCACTCTTCTTTCACCAACTGCTCCAGGTCTCTCAGATTAGAAGGGTTTGTTTTCCCAACTGCTGTTTTCAGATCTCTCCACAGGTGCTCAATGGGACTGAGATCTGGACTCATTGCTGGCCAGTTCAGTACTTTCAAGAGCTTTGTCTGAAACCATTTCTGGGTGCTTTTTGACATGTGCTTTGGGTCATTGTCCTGCTGTAAGACCCATGACCTCTGACAGAGACCCAACTTTCTGACACTGGGTCCTACATTACTCCCCAGAAATCTTTGGTAGTCTTCAGATTTCATCATGTCATGCACAGTTCATCTGGTGCCTGAGGCAACAAAGCAAGCCCAAAACATCAGTGAACCTCCACCATGTTTGACTGTAGGAACTGTATTTTTTAAATGCCTCATTTCTTTTTCTGAAAACAGTAGAATGATGAGCTTTACAAAAAGCTGTACTTTTGTTTCTTCTGTCCACAGCATATTCTCCCAAAAGGATTTTGGGTTCCTCAGGTATGTTTTGGCAAACTCCAATCTGGCTTTTTTATGTTGCTGTGTCAGCAGTGGGTTCTGGGTCTCCTACCATAGCATCCCTGGTAATTGATACAGGTTAGTTTAACCCCTTCACACCTAAGGGTAAAACAAATGTTAATGCCTAAGCACAATTTTGCAGCTTTGACATGCGTCAGTAAAACCCTACATATCATCACAACTACTTTGTGCATCCAGGTGGATTTTACCTTCCAGGACAATTTGGGTTTTCATTTGGTGGTGAATGGTTATGGATATCTTCTGATTTTTTTCCCCCATTATTATTATCAAAGGAAAACTGGCCCAAAATAGTAAAAATAAATCATTATTTTTTTTAATTTAGCTATATATTTCTTGCTACTACTGTTTTTGGTGGTAGGTTATCTACCACCAAAAACAACCCAAAATAAATTCTCCTTCTCCTGATGATCGCAGCAATAGCACATATGTGTATGTTAGTTGTTTGTTCCCATAGTGCAGCGCAGAAACAACAGTGCACATTTTGCTTTTTTTTTTCTCATCCTACCTCCTAAAAAAAAAGACACTAACACTATTTAAAAATGTAAAAACAAAAAAGAAATCATGGAAAAAAATAAATAAAATACTGACCCTGACCTTTGCTCTTGACCATTGACCCATACCCAAACACTAACCCTGGCACTGACCTAGATCAAACCTTGATCTAGTTATTATTTTTATTTATTTATTATTATTATTATTATTATTATTTTGCACACAGTTGTTGTTTTCCTCTCTTCAAGGAGAGAGATACAATGTATATCCCTCCTCCTCTCATAGAGAGAAAAAATCATGAGAGCTAACTGATCACTGTGATAGCCAATCAGAGCGATCATGTGACCTGGAATCAGAAGTTCCGGGTCCCGATCGTTACTATGGACCCGGGGCTCTTGGTGCTGTGCGGCATGCTCCTAGCACAAAGAGTACGCAAATATGTGCCCCACGAAAAAAAAAAACCCAGTCCAGTGGGGCGGCATATTTGCGAATGCATGGTGCTAAGGGGTTAATTACAAATTAGAGGAGCATCACAAACTTAGAATGCAATTATTTCTTGCAATTTTGAAAAGGTGCAAATAATTTTGTGTAGTCCATTTTTGGAGTTTTATATGGAATGTGTCAGATTTGGCTTTTTGTTTCTCCACTTTTTTGTGTCATACCAATACAAACAAAATAAATAAACATGAGAATACCTAAACATTTGTAATTGCAATTTTATGGGTGAAATGGTGTATTAACTGACAGGGGTCCAATAATAAAACTAGTATTCATATAATATTGGTTTCATTTACTGGCATTGTGTAACCTAAACATTTAGCTTAAGTATTTTTTGATAATCAAAATAGTTTTTACATTTAAAAATCCCATGGATTGATTTAAATAGTCATCCAATTTAAGTTCTATTTTTGGTACGTTACTTTGTAAAGCTTGAGTATTACTACAATAAAAAATGATTATACAATAAACTTACTTAATAATGGATTTCTTCTCTGAAAATATCCTAAGACAAAAATCTGCCTCTTGATGTGGCTCAAATGTTGTAGGAATAATCATGTAGTCACCAGGTGGAAGCATGAATCTTTGGGAGATCTCTCTCACATTGACATATGTTTTGCTTCTTGCTTTGGATGGATTGAACTTGAAAAAATCTTTTGCCATCTGGGACTGACTTCCAGGACACTGCACAGCATGCGTACATCATGTTAATATCAAAATAATAAAATTGTCTATAGTAATACAAATCATTTAGTCTTCCAACCAAAGCAAACCTTAGTAAACCTAAAATTTTAAAGCAATTCTTAAAAATATTTTACAACAAATCCTAAGTAAACCCCTAAATTTAATTTACAATTACTACCAATTATGAGAAAATTAGATGTTCACACTGCGACCCTTGCACCTCACACATATATATCCCTCGTTATAACACTGTGTAATGTGTTCAGGAACAATCTACGTGGTAAATGAGGAGCCAGTGTTTCCTCTGACTCGACTTAAAGTGTTATTAAACACAGGACCCTGCATTCACTATATGTGGCCTTCCACACAGAACATGAAAGTGCAATTATTTTAGAAAATATACACTGCTAAATACCTTTTTTCATCAGCAGTTAGAGCAATCTTGTGACTTCAGCAGAACACTGGTTAAAGCTTGTAGGAGGAGTTTTCTTTCTGCTATAGGAGGATGCAAAACCCCTGACCTCTGTCTGGACAGTACTGATTGGCCCTGTGCTGATCACATGCACTCTCCCAAGAAAAGATAAAACTTCTAGCAATACACACCAAACTGAGCATGTGTTTGTGGTTACAGGTTTATTCTGTCTTATCAGGAGATAAGATGTGGACATTTGAACAAGAAGAGGGGCAGAGAAAACAGAATCAAACAGCCTTTTTACACAATGCAGAGGATTAACCCATTAGGTTCCACAGTGAGTACAACAAGCATGCTTTACTGCAAATACAGACGGATTTTACTGTTGTGGGTTTAGTAACACTTTAATCAATATGCCCTGAACCAATCCTAACTCCCATCCAGTACCTTTGAGACTGAGGAATTAGAACTTTTAGAAGAACAAGATACCCCTGGTGTAATTAGAATTTTTTTTCTGCATCATTTCCACCAGATAGATAGGTATAGCACTGGCCACAGCATCTATGTAGATGATTAGAACCCACTGGTTAAAATG